CCATCACCACCCCACCATCACCACCCCACCATCACCTCCCCACCATCTCCCCACCATCACCTCCCCACCATCTCCCCACCATCTCCCCACCATCTCCCCACCCCACCATCACCCACCCCACCATCACCACCCCACCATCACCACCCCACCATCACCACCCCACCATCACCTCCCCATCTCCCCACCATCTCCCCACCATCTCCCCACCATCTCCCCACCATCACCACCCCACCATCACCACCCCACCATCACCACCCCACCATCACCTCCCCACCATCTCCCCACCATCTCCCCACCATCTCCCCACCATCTCCCCACCATCTCCCCACCATCTCCCCACCATCTCCCCACCCCACCATCACCACCCACCATCACCTCCCCATCTCCCCACCATCTCCCCACCATCTCCCCACCATCTCCCCACCATCTCCCCACCATCACCACCCCACCATCACCACCCCACCATCACCACCCCACCATCACCACCCACCATCACCCCACCATCACCCCACCATCTCCCCACCATCACCCCACCATCTCCCCACCATCTCCCACCCTCTCCCCACCATCTCCCCACCATCTCCCCCACCATCTCCCCACCATCTCCCCACCATCTCCCCACCATCTCCCCACCATCTCCCCACCATGTCCCCACCATGTCCCCACCATCTCCCCCACCATCTCCCCACCATCTCCCCACCATCACCACCCCACCATCACCCCACCATCACCCCACCATCTCCCCACCATCACCCCACCATCTCCCCACCATCTCCCCCCACCATCTCCCCACCATCTCCCCGCACCATCTCCCCCACCATCTCCCCACCATCTCCCCACCATACTCCCCACATCACCCACCAATCATCCCCACCATCACTCCCCACCATCTCCCCACCATCCAGCCCCACCATCTCCCCACCATCTCCCCACCATCTCCCCACCATCTCCCCACCAATCTCCCCACCATCTCCCCCACCATCTCCCCACCATCTCCCCCACCATCTCCCCACCATCTCCCCACCATCTCCCCACCATCTCCCCACCATCTCCCCACCTCATCCATCCCACCATCCTCCCCCACCATATCCCCACCAGTCTCCCACATCCCCATCTCCCCACCATCTCCCCACCATCTCCCCCACCATGCTCCCCACCATCTCCCCCACCCATCGCCCCCACCAGCTCCCCACCATCTCCCCACCCATCTCCACCATCTCCCCACCATCTCCCCACTAATCTCCCCACAATCCACCCCACCTCCACCCACATCCACCCCACCATCACCTCCCCACCATCTCCCCACCATCTCCCCACCATCTCCCCACCATCTCCCCACCATCTCCCCACCATCTCCCCACCATCTCCCCACCATCTCCCCACCATCACCACCCCACCATCACCACCCCACCATCACCTCCCCACCATCTCCCCACCATCACCTCCCCACCATCTCCCCACCATCTCCCCACCATCTCCCCACCACCATCACCACCCCACCATCACCACCCCACCATCACCACCCCACCATCACCACCCCACCATCACCTCCCCATCTCCTCCCCATCTCCTCCCCATCTCCCCACCATCTCCCCACCATCTCCCCACCATCTCCCACCATCTCCCCACCATCTCCCCACCATCTCCCCACCATCTCCCCACCATCTCCCCACCATCACCACCCCACCATCACCACCCCACCATCACCACCCCACCATCACCACCCCACCATCACCTCCCCACCATCTCCCCACCATCTCCCCACCATCTCCCCACCATCTCCCCACCATCTCCCCACCATCTCCCCACCATCTCCCCACCATCTCCCCACCATCTCCCCACCATCTCCCCACCATCTCCCCACCATCTCCCACCATCTCCCCACCCCACCATCACCACCCCACCATCACCACCCCATCTCCCCACCATCTCCCCACCATCTCCCCACCATCTCCCCACCATCTCCCCACCATCACCACCCCACCATCACCACCCCACCATCACCTCCCCACCATCTCCCCACCATCACCTCCCCACCATCTCCCCACCATCTCCCCACCATCTCCCCACCATCTCCCCACCATCTCCCCCACCCTCTCCCCACCATCTCCCCACCATCTCCCCACCATCTCCCCACCATCTCCCCACCATCTCCCCACCATCTCCCCACCATCACCACCCCACCATCACCACCCCACCATCACCACCCCACCATCACCTCCCCACCATCTCCCCACCATCTCCCCACCATCTCCCCACCATCTCCCCACCATCTCCCCACCATCTCCCCACCATCTCCCCACCATCTCCCCACCATCTCCCCACCATCACCACCCCCCCATCACCACCCCACCATCACCACCCCACCATCACCTCCCCACCATCTCCCCACCATCTCCCCACCATCTCCCCACCATCTCCCCACCCCACCATCACCACCCCACCATCACCACCCCACCATCACCACCCCACCATCACCACCCCACCATCACCTCCCCATCTCCCCACCATCTCCCCACCATCTCCCCACCATCTCCCCACCATCTCCCCACCATCTCCCCACCATCTCCCCACCATCACCACCCCACCATCACCACCCCACCATCACCACCCCACCACCATCTCCCCACCATCTCCCCACCATCTCCCCACCATCTCCCCACCATCTCCCCACCATCTCCCCACCATCTCCCCACCCCACCATCACCACCCCACCATCTCCCCACCATCTCCCCACCATCTCCCCACCATCTCCCCACCATCTCCCCACCATCACCACCACCATCACCACCACCATCACCCCACCATCACCCCACCATCACCCCACCATCTCCCCACCATCACCCCACCATCTCCCCACCATCTCCCCACCATCTCCCCACCATCTCCCACCATCTCCCCCACCATCTCCCCCACCATCTCCCCCACCATCTCCCCACCATCTCCCCACCATCTCCCCACCATCTCCCCACCATCTCCCCACCATCTCCCCACCATCTCCCCACCATGTCCCCACCATGTCCCCACCATCTCCCCCACCATCTCCCCCACCATCTCCCCCACCATCTCCCCCACCATCTCCCCCACCATCTCCCCACCATCTCCCCACCATCTCCCCACCATCTCCCACCATCTCCCCACCATCTCCCCCACCATCTCCCCACCATCTCCCCACCATCTCCCCACCATCTCCCCACCATCACCACCCCACCATCACCACCCCACCATCACCTCCCCATCTCCCCACCATCTCCCCACCATCTCCCCACCATCTCCCACCATCTCCCCACCATCTCCCCACCATCTCCCCACCATCTCCCCACCATCTCCCCACCATCACCACCCCACCATCACCACCCCACCATCACCACCCCACCATCACCTCCCCACCCTCTCCCCACCATCTCCCCACCATCTCCCCACCATCTCCCCACCATCTCCCCACCATCACCACCCCACCATCACCTCCCCACCATCTCCCCACCATCACCGCCCCACCATCTCCCCACCATCTCCCCACCATCTCCCCACCCCACCATCACCACCCCACCATCACCACCCCACCATCACCACCCCACCATCACCTCCCCATCTCCCCACCATCTCCCCACCATCTCCCCACCATCTCCCCACATCTCCCCACCATCTCCCCACCATCACCACCCCACCATCACCACCCACCATCACCACCCCCACCATCACCTCCCCACCATCTCCCCACCATCTCCCACCATCTCCCCACCATCTCCCCACCATCTCCCCACCATCTCCCCACCATCTCCCCCACCATCTCCCCACCATCTCCCCACCATCTCCCCACCATCTCCCCACCATCTCCCCACCATCTCCCCACCATCTCCCCACCATCTCCGCACCCCACCATCACCACCCAACCATCACCACCCCAGCTCCCCACCATCTCCCCACCATCTCCCCACCATCTCCCCACCATCACCACCCCACCATCACCACCCCACCATCACCTCCCCACCATCTCCCCACCATCACCTCCCCACCATCTCCCCACCATCTCCCCACCATCTCCCCACCATCACCTCCCCACCATCTCCCCCACCATCTCCCCACCATCTCCCCACCATCTCCCCACCATCTCCCCACCATCTCCCCACCATCTCCCCACCATCTCCCCACCATCTCCTGGTCTTCTTGGCTCGGCGAGCACGCGGCTGTGGAGCAACCACGGCAACCACGGCAACCACGGCAACCACGGCAACCACGGCAACCACGGCAACCACGGCAACCACGGCAACCACGGCAACCACGGCAACCACGGCAACCACGGCAACCACGGCAACCACGGCAACCACATCCCTCCCTTCCTCCCCTCCCCTCCCTCCTCCCTCTCCTCCTCCCCTCCTCCCTCTCCTCCCTCCCCCCTCCCTCTCCTCCCTCCCCCCCTCCTCCTTCCTCTCCTCCCTGTCCCCCTTCCCCCTCTCTCCCTCCTCCCTCCCCCCTTCGCTCTCCCCTCCCTCCCTTTCCCCTCCCTCCCCCTCCCTCCCTCCCTCCCTCCCCACCTCCCCACTCCCCACATCCCTCTCCCCTCCTCTCCCCTCCCTCTCCCCCTCCCCCTTCCCTCTCTCTCCCCTCTCCCCTCCCCTCCCTCCCTCCTCCATCCTTCCTCCATCCCTCCTCCCCCCTCCCTCCCTCTCCTCCCTCCCTCCCTCTCTCATCCCTTCCCTCCCCCTCCCTCCCTCCCCTCCCCTCCCTCCCCCTCCCTCCCTCCCTCCCTCCCCTCCCCCTCCCTCCCTTCCTCTCCTCCCTCCCCCTTCCCTCTCTCTCCCCTCCCCTCCCTCCTCCATCCTTCCTCCATCCCTCCCTCCTCTCCTCCCTCCCCCCTCTCTCCCCCCTCCCTCTCCCCCTCCCTCCCTCTCCTCTGCCTCTCCCTCTCCACTCCCTCTCCCCTCCCTCCCCACCCCCTCCCCACCCCCCCCCCTCCCCTCCCTCCCCTCCCTCCCTCTCCCTCCCCTCCCCTCCCCCTCTCCCCTCTCTCCCCACTCCTCCTCCCCCACTCCAGGTGCTGGCGACGTCGTTTGACCCGTACCTGGGCGGCCGTGACTTTGACGATGTCCTCGTGGACTACTTCTGCACGGACTTCCATGCCCGCTACCACAAGTTGGACGTGCGGTCGAGGCCCCGGTCGCTCCTCCGCCTCTACCAGGAGTGCGAGAAGCTGAAGAAGCTGATGAGCGCCAACTCCACCGACATCCCCATCAACATCGAGTGCTTCGTCGACGAGATAGACGTCTCGGGACGCATGAACCGGTGAGTGGTGGGGGGTGGTGGGGAGAGTGGTGAGTGGTGATGGGGGAGAGTGGTGAGTGGTGGTGGTGGGGGAGAGTGGTGAGTGGTGGTGGTGAGAGTGGTGGTGGTATGATGGGTGGTGGTGGTGGTGATGGTGATGATGATGGTGGTGGTGATGGGGAGAGTGGTGAGTGGTGGTGATGGGGCAGAGTGGTGAGTGGTGGTGGTATGATGGGTGGTGGTGATGGGGAGAGTGGTGATGGTGGTGGTGGTGATGGGGGAGAGTGGTGAGTGGTGGTGATGGGTGGTGGTGGTATGATGGGTGGTGGTGATGATGATGGTGGTGGTGATGGAGAGAGTGGTGAGTGGTGGTGATGGGGGAGAGTGGTGGTGGTATGATGGGTGGTGGTGGTGGTGATGATGATGGTGGTGGTGATGGGGAGAGTGGTGAGTGGTGGTGATGGGAGAGAGTGGTGAGTGGTGGTGGTGATGGGGGAGAGTGGTGAGTGGTGGTGATAGGGGAGAGTGGTGGTGGTATGATGGGTGGTGGTGATGATGATGGTGGTGGTGGTGATGGGGAGAGTGGTGAGTGGTGGTGATGGGGAGAGTGGTGAGTGGTGGTGATGGGGGAGAGTGGTGGTGGTATGATGGGTGGTGGTGGTGGTGATGATGGTGGTGGTGGTGGTGATGATGGTGGTGGTGGTGATGATGATGGTGGTGGTGATGGGGAGAGTGGTGAGTGGTGGTGATGGGGGAGAGTGGTGGTGGTGTGAGTGGTGATGGGGAGAGTAGTGGTGGGTATTGGTGATAGTGGTGGTGGTGGTGGGGAGTGATCGGGGAGAGTTGAGGTGGGGTCTGTTATAGTGTGGAGTGAGTGGGGGAGTGGTAGGGGAGAGGTAGGTTCGGTCTGGTGGAGATTGTGGTGAGGTGTGTCCGTGCGTGTGTGTGTGTTCCCGTGTGTATGTGTGTGTTTTCCTGTGTGTGTATGAGTATTAATGTGTGTGTGTTCCCGTGTGTATGAGTGTATGAGTGTATTCATGTGTGTGTATGAGTGTATTAATGTGTGTGTGTGAGTGTATTAATGTGTGTGTGTATGAGTGTATTAATGTGTGTTTTCCTGTGTGTATGAATGTATTAATGTGTGTTTTCCTGTGTGTATGAGTGTATTAATGTGTGTGTTTTCCTGTGTATGAGTGTATTAATGTGTGTGTGTTTTCCTGTTTGTGTATTAATGTGTGTGTGTTTTCCTGTTTGTGTATTAATGTGTGTTTTCCTGTGTGTATGAGTGTATTAATGTGTGTGTGTTTTCCTGTGTGTGTATTAATGTGTGTGTTTTCCTGTGTGTATGAGTATTAATGTGTGTGTTTTCCTGTGTGTATGAGTGTATTAATGTGTGTGTGTATGAGTGTATTAATGTGTGTGTGTATGAGTGTATTAATGTGTGTGTGTATGAGTGTATTAATGTGTGTGTGTATGAGTGTATTAATGTGTGTGTGTATGAGTGTATTAATGTGTGTTTTCCTGTGTGTATGTGTATTAATGTGTGTTTTCCTATGTGTATGAGTGTATTAATGTGTGTGTTTTCCTGTTTGTGTATTAATGTGTGTTTTCCTGTGTGTGTACGAGTGTATTAATGTGTGTGTGTGTTTTCCTGTGTGTGTACGAGTGTATTAATGTGTGTGTGTTTTCCTGTGTGTGTACGAGTGTATTAATGTGTGTGTTTTCCTGTGTGCGTACGAGTGTATTAATGTTTGTGTGTGTACGAGTGTATTAATCTGTGTGTTTTCCTGTGTGTGTGTATGAGTATTAATGTGTGTGTGTTTTCCCGTGTGTGTGTACGAGTGTATTAATGTGTGTGTTTTCCTGTGTGTGTGTATGAGTATTAATGTGTGTGTATGAGTGTGTGTGTGTGTGTGTTTTCCTGTGTGTGTGTACGAGTGTTAATGTGTGTGTGTATGAGTATTAATGTGTGTTTTCCCGTGTGCGTGTGTGTGTGAGTATTAATGTGTGTGTATGAGTGTGTGTTTTCCTGTGTGTGTGTATGAGTATTAATGTGTGTGTGTGCATGAGTATTAATGTGTGTCCGTGTGTGTGAGTATTAATGTGTGTCTGTGTGTGTGAGTATTAATGTGTGTCCGTGTGTGTGTGCGTGTTCCCGTGTGTGTGTGTATGAGTGTATTAATGTGTGTGTATGAGTGTGTGTGTGTGTTTTCCCGTGTGTGTGTGTGTGTGAGTATTAATGTGTGTGTGTTTTCCTGTGTGTGTGTGTGTACGAGTGTATTAATGTGTGTCCGTGTGTGTGTGTTTTCCTGTGTGTGTATGAGTATATTAATGTGTGTGTGTATGAGTATATTAATGTGTGTGTGTATGAGTATATTAATGTGTGTGTGTATCTGTGTATTAATGTGTGTCCGTGTGCGTGTACGAGTGTATTAATGTGTGTGTGTTTTCCTGTGTGTGTGTGTATGAGTGTATTAATGTGTGTGTGAGTGAGTATATTAATGTGTGTGTGTGAGTATATTAATGTGTGTCCGTGTGTGTGTGTGAGTATATTAATGTGTGTCCGTGTGTGTGTGTGAGTATATTAATGTGTGTCCGTGTGTGTGTGAGTATATTAATGTGTGTCCGTGTGTGTGTATGAGTATTAATGTGTGTCCGTGTGTGTGTATGAGTATTAATGTGTGTGTATGAGTATTAATGTGTGTGTGTGAGTATTAATGTGTGTGTGTGTGAGTATTAATGTGTGTGTGTGAGTATTAATGTGTGTGTGTGAGTATTAATGTGTGTGTGTGAGTATTAATGTGTGTGTGTGTACGAGTGTATTAATGTGTGTGTGTGTACGAGTATATTAATGTGTGTGTGTGTGTGAGTATATTAATGTGTGTGTATGTGTGTGAGTATTAATGTGTGTGTGAGTATTAATGTGTGTCCGTGTATGAGTATATGAATGTGTGTGTATGTGTGTGTGTGAGTATTAATGTGTGTGTGTGTATGAGTATATTAATGTGTGTGTATGTGTGTGTGTATGAGTATATTAATGTGTGTGTGTGTATGAGTATATTAATGTGTGTGTGTGTATGAGTATATTAATGTGTGTGTGTGTTTTCCCGTGTGTGTGTATGAGTATATTAATGTGTGTGTGTGTGTGTCCCCGTGTGTGTGTGAGTATATTAATGTGTGTGTATGTGTGTGTGTGAGTATATTAATGTGTGTATGAGTATTAATGTGTGTGTGTGTGAGTATATTAATGTGTGTCCGTGTGTGTGTGTGAGTATATTAATGTGTGTCCGTGTGTGTGTGGGTGAGTATATTAATGTGTGTCCGTGTGTGTGTGTGAGAGTATATTAATGTGTGTCCGTGTGTGTGTGTGAGTATATTAATGTGTGTCCGTGTGTGTGTGTGTGAGTATATTAATGTGTGTCCGTGTGTGTGTGTGTGAGTATATTAATGTGTGTCCGTGTGTGTGTGTGTGTGAGTATATTAATGTGTGTCCGTGTGTGTGTGTGTGTGAGTATAATGTGTGTCCGTGTGTGTGTGTGTGTGAGTATTAATGTGTGTGTGTGTATTAATGTGTGTGTGTGTATTAATGTGTGTGTGTGTATTAATGTGTGTGTGTGTGAGTATTAATGTGTGTGTGTGTGAGTATTAATGTGTGTGAGTATTAATGTGTGTGAGTATTAATGTGTGTGTGTGTGTGAGTATTAATATGTGTGTGTGAGTATATTAATGTGTGTGTGAGTATATTAATGAGTGTGTGTGTGTGTGTATTAATGTGTGTGTGTATTAATGTGTGTGTGTGTATTAATGTGTTCCCGTGTGTGTGTGCTGGTCAGTGCCCACTTTGAGGAGCTGTGTGCCCCTTTGCTGAGCCGCGTGGAGAAACCCCTCAAGGAGATCATGGAGCAAGCCAGTGCGTCACACACACACACATACACACTTACACACATACACATTTACACACGTACACACTTACACACTTACACCTACATACACACGCACACACGTACACACTTACACCTACATACACACGTACACACACGCACACACACATACACATTTACACACGTACACACTTACACACTTACACCTACATACACACGTACACACTTACACACTTACACACGTACACACTTACACCTACATACGTACACACTTACACCTACATACATACACACTTACACATTTACACCTACATACACACGTACACACACACATACACACTTACACCTACATACACACTTACACCTACATACACATATACACACGTACACACTTACACCTACATACACATATACACACTTACACCAACACACTTACACCTACATACACACGTACACACTTACACCTACATACACATATACACACTTACACCTACATACACACGTACACACTTACACCTACATACACATATACACACTTACACCTACATACACACGTACACACGTACACACTTACACCTACATACACACGTACACACTTACACCTACATACACACGTACACACTTACACCTACATACACATTTACACCTACATACACACATACACACTTACACCTACACACACACATACACACTTACACCTACATACACACGTACACACTTACACCTACATACACACGTACACACTTACACACTTACACCTACATACACACGTACACACTTACACACTTACACCTACATACACACGTACACACTTACACCTACATACACACGTACACACTTACACCTACATACACACGTACATACACACGTACACACTTACACCTACATACACATATACACACTTACACCAACACACTTACACCTACATACACACGTACACACTTACACCTACATACACACGTACACACTTACACCTACATACACACGCACACACGTACACACTTACACCTACATACACACGCACACACGTACACACTTACACCTACATACACACGTACACACTTACACCTACATACACACGTACATACACACGTACACACTTACACCTACATACACACGCACACACGTACACACTTACACCTACATACACACATACACATTTACACCTACGTACACACAACAACAACAACCGCCATTCACCACTAAGTGGCGGTTGTGCCAGGCCACAGACACGTACATACATACACACCTACGTACACACGTACACACCTACACACCTACACACCTATACACACGTACACACCTACACACCTATACACACGTACACACATACACACGTACACACATACACACCTACGTACACACGTACACACATACACACCTACGTACACACGTACACACAACAACCGCCATTCGCCACTAAGTGGCGGTGACGTCACCACGACGCTTGTGCCAGGCCACACACACGTACACACATACACCCCTACGTAAACACGTACACACCTACGTACACACCTACACACCTACGTAAACACCTACACACCTACGTACACACGTACACACCTACGTACACACATACACACGTACACACCTACGTACACACGTACACACGTACACACCTACGTACACACCTACGTACACACGTACACACCTACGTACACACGTACACACCTACGTACACACCTACACACCTATGTACACACATACACACCTACGTACACACGTACACACAACAACAACCGCCATTCGCCGCTAAGTGGCGGTGACGTTACCACGACGCTTGTGCCAGGCCACACACACGTACACACATACACACCTACGTATACACGTACACACGTACACACACATCTACGTACACACAACAACAACCGCCATTCGCCACTAAGTGGCGGTGACGTCACCACGACGCTTGTGCCAGGCCACACGCACGTACACACCTACGTACACACGTACACACGTACACACCTACATACACATGTACACACCTACACGTACACACGTACACACCTACGTACACGCGTACACACCTACGTACACGCGTACACACCTACGTACACGCGTACACACCTACGTACACGCGTACACACCTACGTACACGCGTACACACGTACACACCTACGTACACACCTACGTACACATCTACACGTACGCACACACGTACGTACACACGTACGTACACACCTACGTACACACCCACACCTACGTACCCACGTACACATGTACGCACACACGTACGCACACACGTACGCACACATACACACATACACGCTTACGTACACACCTACGTACACACCTACGTACACACCTACGTACACACCTACGTACACACGTACCTCTAAACTCCACCGCATCTACCCCCCCTCCCTCCCTCTCCCCCTCCTCCCCCTCCCAGACCTGAAGATGGATGACGTGTGCTCGGTGGAGATCGTGGGTGGAGCGACTCGCATCCCCTCCATCAAGGAGCGCATCCTGCACTTCTTCGGCAAGGAAGTACGGACGACTCTCAACGCGGACGAAGCCGTGGCCCGTGGCTGTGCCCTGCAGGTAGAAGGGGGGGGGGGGAGGGGGGGGGAATGGGGGAGGGGGGGGGGGACATTGGGAGCCGTTCGTCGTAGTGTGAGCGCCGCCCTCCAATCCACTCTAGACCCGCCCTGTACATCCACCCACTCAACCACTCACTCAACCACCCACTCAACCACCCACTCAACCACCCACTCACCCACCCACCCACTCACTCACCCACTCAACCACCCACTCGCCCACTCACTCACCGAACCACTCACCCACCCACTCAACCAACCACTCACCCACTCACTCACTCACTCGCCCACGCACCCAACCATCCACTTACCCACCCACTCACTCACCCACGCACTCACCCACGCACTCACCCACTCACCCAACCATCCAACCACTCACCCACTCACTCACCCACCCACCCACCCACTCACCCACCCACTCGCTCACCCACCCACCCACTCACCCACCCACTCACTCACCCACTCACCCAACCATCCACTTACCCACCCACTCACCCACCCACTCACCCAACCATCCACTTACCCACCCACTCACCCACCCACTCACTCACCCACCCACTCACCCACTCACCCAACCATCCAACCACTCACCCACTCACTCACCCACCCACTCACCCACCCACTCACCCAACCATCCACTTACCCACCCACTCACTCACCCACCCACTCACTCACTCGCCCAACCACTCACCCACCCACCCACTCAACCACCCGCTCACCCACCCACTAGCCCGCCCACCCACTCACCTAACCACTCACCCACCCACTCACCCACCCAACCACCCACCCTTTGACTCACCCCTTGACTCACCCACCCACTCTTCCACCCACCCTCTGTCCCCCCTCTTCTCATCCCCCTCCCTCCTCCTCCCTCCCTCCCTCATCCCTCTCCCTCCCCTATCCCCCCTTCCTCTTCCCCCCCCTCCCTCTCCCCCATCACTCACGCTCTCCTCTCCCCGTCTGTGTGTGTGTCTCTGTGTGTGTGTGTCTCTGTGTGTGTGTGTCTGTGTGTGTGTCTGTGTGTGTGTGTCTGTGTGTGTCTCTGTGTGTCTGTGTGTCTCTGTGTCTGTGTGTCTCTGTGTCTGTGTGTCTCTGTGTCTGTGTGTCTCTGTGTCTGTGTGTGTGTCTGTGTGTGTGTCTCTGTGTGTGTGTCTCTGTGTCTGTGTGTGTGTCTGTGTGTGTGTCTGTGTGTGTGTGTGTGTCTGTCTGTGTGTCTCTGTGTGTGTGTGTCTGTGTCTCTCTGTGTGTGTGTGTGTCTCTCTGTGTCTCTCTGTGTGTGTGTGTGTCTCTCTGTGTGTGTGTCTCTGTGTGTCTCTGTGTGTGTCTCTGTGTCTGTGTGTCTCTGTGTGTCTCTGTGTGTCTCTCTGTGTGTGTCTCTGTCTCTCTGTGTCTCTGTGTGTCTGTGTCTGTGTGTCTCTCTGTCTGTGTGTCTCTGTGTGTGTGTGTGTCTGTGTGTCTCTGTGTGTGTGTCTCTGTGTGTCTCTGTGTGTGTCTCTGTGTGTGTGTGTGTCTCTGTGTGTGTCTCTGTGTCTCTGTGTGTGTCTGTGTCTCTGTGTGTCTGTGTGTCTCTGTGTGTGTGCTTGCTCCCCCCCCCGCAGTGCGCCATGCTCTCCCCGGCGTTCAAGGTTCGCGACTTCTCCGTGACCGACGCTGTCCCATACCCCATCTCCCTGCGCTGGACATCCGAAGTCGAGGACAATGAGGGGTGAGGTGGGGTGGGTGGGTGGGTGGGGTGGGTGGAAAGTCAATGACGTGGCTGATAGGAATAGGTTTTACCCTTTTAACTGGCACAAAAACTGACACCTTTATTCAAGGCATCGTGTTTGCAATAACCACAACACAAGCAGTCAAAATGCAAATAAAAATACAACTCTGATAATAATATGCAGTGTCCTTGAATTTGATTGGTCCACACCCGAAACAGCTTTTCTTTAGAGCCCAGTCTCACACTGGTGTTGAACCATAAGACGCCAAAAGGCATACAACTCAAAAACAGCGCACCATCAGAGTATTGAGGGCTCGGGGCGAGCATTTACATTATGAGACCTCCTTTGCCAGTAAACAAGATATAGGAATAGGTTTTACCCTTTTAACTGGCACACAAAAACTGACACCTTTATTCAAGGCATCATGTTTGCAATAACCACAACACACGCAGTCAAAATACAAACAAAAAAGACAACTCTGATAATGATATTGGCACTGTCCTTGAATTTGATTGGTCCACACCCGAGACAGCTTTTCTTAGAGCCCTTTAGTCTCACACTGGTGTTGGACCAGAAGACGCCAAAAGGCGTACAACTCAAAAACAGCAGAGCACCATCAGAGTATTGAGGGCTCGGGGCGAGCATTTACATTATGAGACCTCCTTTGCCAGTAACAAGATATAGGAATAGGTTTTACCCTTTTAACTGGCACACAAAAACTCAGTTTTTTTTATAATGTAAATGCTCACCCCGAGCCCTCAATACTCTGATGGTGCGCTGTTTTTGAGTTGTACGCCTTTTGGCGTCTTCTGGTCCAACACCAGTGGAGACTAAAGGGGCTCTAAAGAAAGCCGTCTCGGGTGTGGACCAATCAAATTCAAGGACAGTGCCAATTATCATTATCAGAGTTGTCTCTTTTTGTTTGCATTTTGACTGCTTGTGTTGTGGTTATTGCAAACATGATGCCTTGAATAAAGGTGTCAGTTTTTTTGTGCCGGTTAAAAGGGTAAAAACCTATTCCTATATCTTGTTACTGGCAAAGGAGGTCTCATAAATGTAGACGTGGCTGATATAATCATCAGCGTCATCATCATCATCATCGTCGTCGTTTGTGAATTCACAGCAGCAGGCAAATTTCTGTGTAAACTCGCGGCTGACTTTGATTCTGAATGTGGAGGGGAAGAACCAAACGACCCAAACACGCAGTGATCATCACGAGTCGTGTGAGAGAGAGAGAGAGACGCTCCAAATGTTCAGGTGCCAGGGTCGGGATCGAACCCACGATCTCCTGCATACCAGGCGAGGTAGTCAACATCTCGCCACGGAGAGAGTGAGAGAGACACGCAGACTCCAAATATACAGCAGCAGCAGCAGCAGGCATCGTCACTGTTGAGATCGAACCCACGACCTCCTGTACACCGGGCGAGGTAGGTAACGTCTCCTAGCCTCCGTGATGATGATGAGAGAGAGAGAGAGACCCAGATTCTAAATATGTAGCAGCAGGCGTCGTCAGGGTCAGGATCGAACCCACGACCTCCTGTAGACCGGGCGAGGTAGTCAACATCTCATAGCCACCGTGATGGTGATGAGAGAGAGAGAGACACAAATATACAACACACGACCTCCTGTACACCAGGCGAGGTAGTCAACATCTCATAGCCACCCTGATGATGATGAGAGAGAGTGAGAGACACAATTACACAACTCACGACCTCCTGTATACCAGGCGAGGTGGTCAACATCTCATAGCCACCCTGATGATGATGAGAGAGAGACACACAAATACACAACACACGACCTCGTGTAGACCGGGCGAGGTAGTCAACATCTCATAGCCACCGTGATGATGATGAGAGAGAGACACAGATACACAACTCACGACCTCCTGTAGACCGGGCGAGGTAGTCAACATCTCATAGCCACCGTGATGATGATGATGAGAGAGAGACACAAATACACAACCCACGACCTCCTGTATACCAGGCGAGGTAGTCAACATCTCATAGCCACCGTGATGATGATGATGAGAGAGACACACAAATACACAACACACGACCTCCTGTATACCGGGCGAGGTGGTCAACATCTCATAGCCACCGTGATGATGATGAGAGAGAGAGAGACACACAAATACACAACTCACGACCTCCTGTATACCAGGCGAGGTAGTCAACATCTCATAGCCACCGTGATGATGATGAGAGAGAGACGCAGACTCCAAATAAACAGCAGCAGCAGCAGGCATCGTCAGGGTCAGGATCGAACCCACGACCTCCTGTAGACCGGGCGAGGTAGTCAACATCTCACAGCCACCGTGATGATGATGAGAGAGAGAGACACAGACTCCAAATAAACAGCAGCAGCAGCAGCAGGCATCATCAGGGTCAGGATCGAACCCACGACCTCCTGTAGACCAGGCGAGGTAGTCAACATCTCTGTGTGTGTCTGGGATGGAACCCACAACCTCCTGTAGACCAGGCGAGGTAGTCAACATCTCCTAGCCTCCGTGGTGATGATGAGAGAGAGAGAGACACAAATACACAACTCACGACCTCCTGTATACCAGGCGAGGTAGTCAACATCTCACAGCCACCGTGATGATGATGAGAGAGAGAAGCAGACTCCAAATAAACAGCAGCAGCAGCAGGCATCGTCAGGGTCAGGATCGAACCCACGACCTCCTGTAGACCGGGCGAGGTAGTCAACATCTCATAGCCACCGTGATGGTGATGAGAGAGAGACACACAAATACACAACACACGACCTCCTGTAGACCAGGCGAGGTAGTCAACATCTCTGTGTGTCTGGGATGGAACCCACGACCTCCTGTAGACCAGGCGAGGTAGTCAACATCTCATAGCCACCGTGATGATGATGATGAAGAGAGAGAGAGAGACACAAATACACAACTCACGACCTCCTGTATACCAGGCGAGGTAGTCAACATCTCCTAGCCACCGTGATGATGATGATGATGAGAGAGAGAGACACAAATACACAACACACGACCTCCTGTGTACCAGGCGAGGTAGTCAACATCTCACAGCCACCGTGATGATGATGATGAGAGAGAGAGACACAGACTCCAAATAAACAGCAGCAGCAGCAGCAGGCATCATCAGGGTCAGGATCGAACCCACGACCTCATGTAGACCAGGCGAGGTAGTCAACATCTCTGTGTGTGTCTGGGATGGAACCCACGACCTCCTGTAGACCAGGCGAGGTAGTCAACATCTCTGTGTGTGTCTGGGATGGAACCCACGACCTCCTGTAGACCAGGCGAGGTAGTCAACATCTCATAGCCACCGTGATGATGATGAGAGAGAGAGAGAGACACAAATACACAACTCACGACCTCCTGTAGACCAGGCGAGGTAGTCAACATCTCATAGCCACCGTGGTGATGAGAGAGAGACACAAATACACAACTCACGACCTCCTGTAGACCGGGCGAGGTAGTCAACATCTCACAGCCACCGTGATGATGATGATGATGAGAGAGAGAGACACACACAAATACACAACACACGACCTCCTGTATACCAGGCGAGGTAGTCAACATCTCCTAGCCTCCGTGATGATGATGAGAGAGAGACACAAATACACAACAGACAACCTCCTGTAGACCAGGCGAGGTAGTCAACATCTCATAGCCAGCGTGATGATGATGATGAGAGAGAGACACAAATACACAACACACGACCTCCTGTAGACCAGGCGAGGTAGTCAACATCTCATAGCCACCGTGATGATGATGATGAGAGAGACACAGATACACAACACACGACCTCCTGTAGACCAGGCGAGGTAGTCAACATCTCATAGCCACCGTGGTGATGATGATGAGAGAGAGAGACACAAATACACAACCCACGACCTCCTGTAGACCAGGCGAGGTAGTCAACATCTCACAGCCACCGTGATGATGATGATGAGAGAGAGAGACACATACACAACACACGACCTCCTGTAGACCGGGTGAGGTAGTCAACATCTCACAGCCACCGTGATGATGATGATGAGAGAGAAGCAAATTCCAAATGTACAGCAGCAGGCATCCTGGCACGGGATGATTGTTGCGGTATTACAACGGTCGGTGTTGATTGCCGTGATGTTGTTGTTGATGGTTGTTGTCGTTGTTGGTTGTTGTCGTTGTTGTTGATTGCCGTGATGTTGTTGTTGTTGATGGTTGTTGTTGTTGATGGTTGTTGTTGTTGATGGTTGTTGTTGTTGTTGGTTGTTGTTGTTGATGGTTGTTGTTGTTGATGGTTGTTGTCGTTGTTGTTGATTGCCGTGATGTTGTTGTTGATGGTTGTCGTTGTTGTTGATGGTGGTTGTTGTTGTTGATGGTTGTTGTCGTTGTTGTTGATTGCCGTGATGTTGTTGTTGTTGTTGATGGTTGTTGTCGTTGTTGTTGATTGCCGTGATGTTGTTGTTGTTGTTGATGGTTGTTGTCGTTGTTGATTGTTGTGATGTTGTTGTTGATGGTTGTTGTTGATTGTTGTGATGTTGTTGTTGTTGATGGTTGTTGTCGTTGTTGATGGTTGTTGTTGTTGATGGTTGTTGTTGTCGTTGTTGATTGTTGTGATGTTGTTGTTGTTGATGGTTGTTGTCGTTGATTGTTGTGATGATGTTGTTGTTGATGGTTGTTGTCGTTGTTGATTGTTGTGATGTTGTTGTTGTTGATGGTTGTTGTCGTTGTTGATTGTTGTGATGTTGTTGTTGTTGATGGTTGTTGTCGTTGTTGATTGTTGTGATGTTGTTGTTGTTGATGGTTGTTGTTGATGGTTGTTGTTGTCGTTGTTGATTGTTGTGATGTTGTTGTTGTTGATTGCCGTGATGTTGTTGTTGATGGTTGTGATGTTGTTGTTGATGGTTGTTGTCGTTGTTGTTGATTGTTGTGCCCTTGCGGCCACTGCAGGCACTGCGAGGTGTTTGGCCGTGGCCACGCCATCCCCTTCTCCAAGGTCCTCACCTTCTACCGCAAGCACCCCTTCCAGCTGCAGGCCGCTTACAGCGACCCCGCCAGCCTGCCCTTCCCCAACCCCAACATCGGTCAGTGCACCGTGGGGGTGGTGGTGGTGATGGCGGTGGTCGTGGCGGTGGGGGGTGGTGGTGGCGGTGGTCGCGGTGGTGATGGCGGTGGTGGTGATGCCGGTGGTCGTGGTGGTGGTGATGGTGATGGTGGTCGTGGTGATGGTGGCGGTGGTGGTGGTGGCGATTGGCGTGGCGGTGGTGGTGATGGTCGTGGTGGTGATGGTGGTCGTGGTGGTGGTGGTGATAGTCGTGGTGGTGATGGTGGTGATGGTCGTGGTGGTGATGGTGGTGATGGTCGTGGTGGTGATGGTGGTGATGGTCGTGGTGGTGGTGGTGTAGTGGTGGTGGTGGTGTAGTGGTGGTGGTGTAATAGTGAACATCGCTCGCACTGGGGGAGAGACAAAGGCGGCCGGGCGTGGTGGTGCTGGTGGCCACCCACCCCCTGTGTGTGCCACAGTGCCGGTAGCCTTCACAGGTGCTGTGTCTCGCTAACAGCACTTGCCCCTACAGCCTGCTAGAGGCCACACGGGGGACCTTTGTCTGTGTCTCCTACGTGGTGCAGAACGTGTGCACTCTTATCCCTTAATCTCTCTAACTCTCTCTCTCTCTCATTCCTCACTCTCTCATTCCTCACTCTCTCATTCCTCACTCATTCCTCACTCTCTCACTCAAACACACACTCACTCTATCACTAACTCACTCTCTCATTCCTCACTCTCTCATTCCTCACACTCACTCACTCTCTCATTCCTCACTCTCTCACTCACTCACACTAACACTAACTCACTCTCTCTCATTCCTCACTCTCACTCTCTCACTCACTCTCACTCTCTCATTCCTCACTCTCTCATTCCTCACTCTCACTCTCTCACTCACTCTCACTCTCTCATTCCTCACTCTCTCATTCCTCACTCTCACTCACACTCACTCTCTCATTCCTCACTCTCTCATTCCTCACTCACTCTCACTCTCTCATTCCTCACTCTCTCATTCCTCACTCTCTCATTCCTCACTCTCACACTCACTCTCTCATTCCTCACTCTCTCATTCCTCACTCTCACTCACTCACTCTCTCACACTCACTCACTCACTCTCTCACTCTCTCATTCCTCACTCACTCACTCCCTCACTCTCACACTCACTCACTCACTCTCACTCACACTCTCTCATTCCTCACTCTCTCATTCCTCACTCTCACTCACTCACTCTCATTCCTCACTCTCATTCCTCACTCTCACTCACTCTCTCTCTCACACTCACTCACTCACTCTCTCTCATTCCTCACTCTCTCATTCCTCACTCTCTCATTCCTCACTCTCGCATTCCTCACTCTCTCATTCCTCACTCTCTCATTCCTCACTCTCACACTCACTCACTCTCACTCACTCTCTCATTCCTCACTCGCTCATTCCTCACTCACTCACTCTATCACTAACACTAACTCACTCTCTAATTCCTCACTCTCTCTCACACTATGCCTCACTCATCCCTCACTCTCTCTCTCATTCCTCACTCGCTCTCTCTCATTCCTCACTCTCTCTCGCTCTCACTCTCTCTCTCATTCCTCACTCTCTCATTCCTCACTCTCACTCACTGTCACTCACTCTCTCATTCCTCACTCACTCACACTAACACTAACTTACTCACTCTCTCTCATTCCTCACTCTCACTCTCTCTCATTCCTCACTCTCACTATCTCACTCACTCTCACTCTCTCATTCCTCACTCTCTCACGCTCACACACTCACACTCACTCTCTCACTAACACTAACTCACTCTCTCATTCCTCACTCTCTCACTCTATCACTAACACTAACTCACTCACACTCTCTCATTCCTCACTCTCTCTCACACTATCCCTCACTCTCTAACACTCTCTCATTCCTCACTCACTCTCTCATTCCTCACTCATTCACTCTCACACTCACTCTCTCTCTCACTCATTCACTCACTCTATCACTAACACTAACTCACACTCTCTCGCTCACTCACTCACACTTTCACTCACACTCTCTCTCTCACTCTCCCCACCCACCTTTGTATTTCCCCCGCCCCCACCAGGCTCCTACGTGGTACAGAACGTGTGCACTCTATCCCTTAATCTCTCTAACTCTCTCATTCCTCACTCTGTCATTCCTCACTCACTCATTCCTCACTCTCACACTCACTCACTCTCATTCACTCTCACTCACTCACACTCTATCACTAACACTAACTCACTCTCTCTCTCATTCCTCACTCTCTCATTCCTCACTCTCACTCACTCACACTCTCACTCTCTCACTCACTCACTCTCTCACACTCTCTCGCCCTCACTCACTCGCTCTCACTCTCTCTCACTCTCTCTCGCTCTCTCACTCTCTCACACTCTCTCGCTCACTCTCCCCACCCACCTTTGTATCCCCCCCACCCGCCCCCCCAGGCTCCTACGTGGTACAGAACGTGTGCACTCTATCCCTTAATCTCTCTCACTCACTCACCACTCTCACTCACTCTCTCTCGTTCACCCTCTCTCGCTCACTCACTCACTCTCTCTCGCTATCACACACACTTTGACTCACACCCTCACTCACTCTCCCCACCCACCTTTGTATCCCCCCCGTCCGCCCCGCAGGCTCCTACGTGGTACAGAACGTGTGCACTCTATCCCTTAATCTCTCTAACGCTCTCTCTCATTCCTCTCTCACTCACTCTCATTCACTCACGCTCTCACTCTCTCACTCTCACCATCTCTCTCTCTCACTCTCTCTCACGCTCTCATTCACTCTCTCACTCTCTCTCGTTCCCTCTCTCTCGCTCACTCACATTCTCTCTCACACTCACACTCGCTCTCACTCACACACTCTCCCTCTCACTCACCCTCCCCACCCACCTTTGTATCCCCCCCGCCCGCCCCCCAGGCTCCAACGTGGTACAGAACGTGTGCACTCTATCCCTTAATCTCTATAACACTCTCATTCCTGTCTCACTCACTCTCTCACTCTCTCTCACTCACTCTCTCTCACTCTCTCACTCACCCTCTCACTCTCTCTCACTCACTCACTCTCTCTCACTCTCTCTCACTCACTCTCTCTCACTCTCTCTCGCTCACTCACTCTCTCTCGCTCTCACTCTCTCTCTCTCACTCTCTCTCTCACACTCTCGCTCACTCTCACTCTCTCTCACTCACTCACACTCACTCTCCCCACCCACCTTTGTATCCCCCAGGCTCCTACGTGGTACAGAGCGTGTGCGCTCTATCCCTTAATCTCTCTAACTCTCTCATTCCTCACACACTCTCTCTCACTCTCGCTCTGTCTCTCTCATTCACTCTCGCTCACTCACTCTCTCATTCACTCTCTCTCGCTCACTCACTCTCTCTCGCTCTCACACACACTTTCACTCTCACTCACTCTCCCCACCCACCTTTGTATCCCCGCCCGCCCCCCCAGGCTCCTACGTGGTACAGAGCGTGTGCACTCTATCCCTTAATCTCTCTCACTCACTCGCACACTCTCGCTCACTCTCTCTCTCTCATTCACCCTCTCTCGCTCACTCACTCTCACTCACTCTGTCTCGCTCACTCGCTCTCACTCTCACACTCTCACTCACTCGCTCACTCTCTCTCTCATTCTCTCTCGCTCACTCTCTCACTCACTCACTCACACTCCTCACTCTCTCTCACTCACTCTCTCTCACTCGCTCTCACTCTCTCTCTCACACTCACTCACACTCCTCACTCTCTCTCACTCACTCTCTCTCACTCGCTCTCACTCTCTCTCTCACACTCACTCACACTCCTCACTCTCACTCACTCACTCTCTCTCACTCGCTCTCACTCTCTCTCTCACACTCACTCACACTCTCTCTCACTCTCACTCACTCTCGCTCACACTCTCTCACTCACTCTCTCTCACTCACTCACCCTCACACTCCTCACTCTCTCTCACTCACTCTCACTCACTCTCTCTCACTCGCTCTCACTCACACTCTCTCTTACACTCGCTCTCACTCACTCTCACTCTCTCTCACTCTCACTCACTCTCTCTCACTCACTCTCTCTCACTCACTCTCTCTCACTCACTCTCGCTCTCACTCACTCTCGCTCTCACTCACTCTCTCTCACTCTCTCACACTCTCTCACGCTCTCTCGCTCTCACTCACACTCTCTCACACTCTCTCCCCACCCACCTTTGTATCCCCGCCCGCCCCCCAGGCTCCTACGTGGTACAGAGCGTGTGCACTCTATCCCTTAATCTCTCTCACTCACTCGCACACTCTCGCTCACTCTCTCTCTCTCATTCACTCTCTCACTCTCTCTCACTCACACTCTCTCTCTCTCGCTCTCACTCACTCTCTCACACTCTGACACTCACTCTCCCCACCCACCTTTGTATCCCCCAGGCTCCTACGTGGTACAGAGCGTGTGCGCTCTATCCCTTTATCTCTCTCTCTCACTCTCATTCCGCACACACTCTCTCACACACACACTCCTCACTCTCTCATTCTCTCACACTCTCTCTCTCGCTCTCACTCTCTCTCGCTCACTCACACCCTCTCACACTCTCTCGCTCACTCACTCACTCTCTAACTCTCTCACTCACTCTCTCTCGCTCACTCTCACTCACTCTCACGCACTCTCACTCACTCATTCCTCTCTCTCTCACTCACTCACTCTCACACTCTGACTCACTCACACTCTGACTCACTCTCGCTCTCTCTCTCACTCACTCTCACTCTCTCTCTCACACTCTCTCTCACTCGCTCACTCTCCCCACCCACCTTTGTATCCCCCAGGCTCCTACGTGGTACAGAGCGTGTGCACTCTATCCCTTAATCTCACTCACTCCTCACTCTCTCTCGCTCACTCACTCTCACTCACTCTCTCTCTCTCACACTCACTCACTCTCTCTCACTCGCTCACTCTCTCTCTCTCACTCACTCACTCTCTCACTCTCTCACTCACTCGCTCACTCTCTCGCTCACTCTCTCGCTCACTCTCTCGCTCACTCTCTCACTCACTCACTCTCTCTCACACTTGCTCTCACTCACTCACTCCTCACTCACTCTCACTCCCTCTCTCTCTCACTCTCTCTCACTCACTCTCTCTCACTCTCCCCACCCACCTTTGTATCCCCCAGGCTCCTACGTGGTACAGAGCGTGTGCGCTCGCCCCGACGGAGACAGTGCCAAGGTGAAGGTGAAGGTGCGGGTCAACGGCCACGGCATCTTCGGCGTGTCCGGCGCCTCGCTCGTTGACAAGACGCCCGTGCCGGACAACGCCGCCGGCAACGCCGGCAACGCCGGCAACGCCGGCAACGAGTCCCAGGAGGCCGGCAGCTCCGTCCCCATGGAGACGGAGCTGAGCTCGGCGGCAGCGGCGGCGGCAGCGGCAGCGGCGGCAAACGCTCAGGGGGCAGAGGCGGGCAGCAGCAAGGAGGAGGTGGGTGGGGAGGGGAGGTGCGTGGGTGGGTGGGTGAGCCGGTGGGTGGGTGGGTGAGTGGGTGGGTGGGTGAGCCGGTGGGTGGGTGTTTAAGTGGGTGGGTGGGTGAGCGGGTGGGTGGGTGTTTAGGTGGGTGGGTGTTTAAGTGGGTGGGTGAGCGGGTGGGTGGGTGTTTAAGTGGGTGGGTGAGCCGGTGGGTGGGTGTTTAAGTGGGTGGGTGAGCCGGTGGGTGGGTGTTTGGGTGGGTGGGTGTTTAAGTGGGTGGGTGTTTAAGTGGGTGGGTGGGTGTTTAAGCGGGTGGGTGGGTGAGCGGGTGGGTGTTTAAGTGGGTGGGTGAGCGGATGGGTGGGTGTTTAAGTGGGTGGGTGGGTGAGCGGGTGGGTGGGTGTTTAAGTGGGTGGGTGGGTTAGCGGGTGGGTGGGTGTTTGAGTGGGTGGGTGGGTGAGCGGGTCGGTGGGTGTTTAAGTGGGTGGGTGAGTGAGCGGGTGGGTGGGTGTTTAAGTGGGTGGGTGGGTGTTTAAGTGGGTGGGTGTTTTAGTGGGTGGGTGGGTGTTTAAGTGGGTGGGTGAGCAGGTGGGTGGGTGTTTAAGTGGGTGGGTGAGCGGGTGGGTGGGTGTTTAAGTGGGTGGGTGGGTGGATGTTTAAGTGGGTGAGCTGGTGGGTGTTTAAGGGGGTGAGCGGGGTGGGGTGGTGAGCGGGTGGGGTGGTGAGCTGGTAAGTGGACTCTGAAGGCTTGTCTATGTTAAGCGAGTAGCCTGGTGCTCTGTGTAGTGAACATCTTTGTCAATGTTAAGCGAGTAGCCTGGTGCTCTTGTGTAGTGAACATCTTTGTCAATGTTAAGCGAGTAGCCTGGTGCTGTGTGTAGTGAACATCTTTTGTCAATGTTAAGCGAGTAGCCTGGTGCTGTGTGTAGTGAACATCTTTGTCTATGTTAAGCGAGTAGCCTGGTGCTCTGTGTAGTAAACATTGCACCGCTGGGGAGATACAAAGACGGCTGGGCGTGGTGCTGTTCACCCCCTCTAGGTGTGACAAGGTGCCGGCCTAAATAGGCGCTGCTCGCGAACAGCACTTGCCCCTACAGCCTGCTAGAGGCTACACGGGGGACCTTTGTCTGTGTCTACCTTCACAGGCGCTGCTGCTACCAACAGCACTTGCCCCTACAGCCTGCTAGAGGCTACACGGGGGACCTTTGTCTGTGTCTACCTTCATAGGCGCTGCTGCTGCTACTCGCTACTAACAGCACTTGCCCCTACAGCCTGCTAGAGGCTACACGGGGGACCTTTGTCTGTGTCTACCTTCATAGTCACTGCTGCTGCTACTCGCTACTACCAACAGCACTTGCCCCTCCAGCCTGCTAGAGGCTACACGGGGGACCTTTGTCTGTGTCTACCGTCATAGACGCTGCTGCTACCAACAGCACTTGCCCCTACAGCCCGCTAGAGGCTACAGGGGGGAGCTTTGTCTGTGTGTGTGCGCCGTCTGCCCCGCAGAGCGAGATGCAGACTGACGCTGACGAAGGGGCCCAGCTCCCAGAGTCGCCGGGGTCGGAGGCTGCGGGAGAGGCCAAGGTGGGAGATTGTGTACCCCACCCCCGCCCCCCACACACCCTGTGTGAGCGTGTGTGTGAGTGTGAGTGAGCGGTGAGTGTGTGTGAGTGAGCGTTTGTGGGAGCGGTGAGTGTGAGCGGTGAGTGAGAGCGAGCTGTGCGTGAGAGCGAGCGGTGAGTGAGAGCGAGCGGTGAGTGAGAGCGAGCGGTGAGTGAGAGCGAGCGGTGAGTGAGCGTGTGAGTGAGTGAGCGTGTGAGCGAGTGAGTGAGCGTGTGAGCGTGCGAGCGTTTGAGCGAGCGTGTGAGTGAGTGTGAGCGGTGAGTGAGTGAGTGTGAGCGGTGAGTGTGAGTGAGTGAGTGTGAGCGGTGAGTGTGAGCAGTGAGTGTGAGTGGTGAGCGGTGAGTGTGAGCGGTGAGTGTGAGCGGTGAGTGTGAGCGGTGAGTGTGAGCGGTGAGTGTGAGCGGTGAGTGTGAGCGGTGAGGGTGAGTGTGAGCGTGAGCGGTGAGAGCGAGCGGTGCGTGTGAGCGGTGAGTGTGAGCGGTGAGTGTGAGCGTGAGCGGTGTGAGTGAGCGGTGTGAGTGAGCGGTGAGTGTGAGCGGTGAGTGTGAGCGGTGAGTGTGAGCGGTGAGTGTGAGCGTGAGCGGTGTGAGTGAGCGGTGAGTGTGAGCGGTGAGTGTGAGCGGTGAGTGTGAGCGTGAGCGGTGTGAGTGAGCGGTGAGTGTGAGCGTGAGCGGTGTGAGTGAGCGGTGAGTGTGAGCGTGAGCGGTGAGTGTGAGCGTGAGTGGTGTGAGTGAGCGGTGAGTGTGAGTGTGTGTGAGTGTGAGTGAGTGAGTGTGAGTGAGTGAGTGAGTGTGAGTGTGAGCGGTGGGTGTGAGTGAGCGGTGTGAGTGAGCGGTGTGAGTGTGAGTGAGCGGTGTGAGTGTGAGTGAGCGGTGTGAGTGTGAGTGAGCGGTGTGAGTGTGAGCGTTGAGTGTGAGTGCGGTGAGTGTGAGCGAGCGTTTTGAGCGGTGAGTGCGCTTGGCCTTGCGCCGTGGCGACGTCACCGCCTGTTGGTTTGTGAGTGCCAGTGAGCGGAGAGAGATGATGATGAGAGAGAGACAGACTCCAAATCTGCAGCAGCAGGCGTCGGGGTTGGGATCGAACCCACGAACCCCTAAATTTCTGTACCATTGTTGACCCCACCCATCCCGCTCCACCCCAACAATCCCACCACACCCATCCCAACCAATCCCACTCTACCCACCCCACGCAACTCCACCCCACCCATCCCGCTCCACCCCACTCTACCCACCCTACCCCACCACGCCCCTCTACCCATCCCACTCTCCACGACCCTACCCACCCCACTCTACCCACCCCACTCCGACCCACTGCACCCCATACTACTACTACACCCACCCCACTCTATCCTCCCCACTCCACTCCACTACCCCGCCACACTCCACCCCATCCCAACCAATCCCACTCTACCCACCCCACGCAACTCCACCCCACCCATCCCGCTCCACCCCACCCCTCTCCACGACTCCACCCATCCCGCTCCACCCCACCCACCCATCCCGCCCCACCCATCCCACCCCACCCATCACACTCTACCCACCCCTCTCCATGACTCCACCCCACCCATCCCGCTCTACCCACACCACTCCACGGCCCCACCCATCCCACCCACCCCACCTAACTCCGCCCCACCCGCCCCGCCCCACCCAACCCCACCCCGCCCCACCCCACCCCACCCCACCCCTCTACACACCCCACCCCACTCTACCCACCCCGCCCCACCAAACCCCGCCCCTCTACCCATCCCACTCTACCCACCCCACCCCTCTACACACCCCACCCCACTCTACCCACCACGCCCCGCCCCGCCCCACCCAACCCCCGCCCCTCTACCCACCCCCGCCCCGCCCCGCCCCACCCCACCCCGCCCCACCCAACCCTGCCCCTCTATCCATCCCACCCCGCCCCACCCCACCCCTCTACACACCCCGCCCCATCACGCCCCTCGCCCCGCCCCACCCCCACCCCCACCCCCACCCCACCCCACCCCCGCCCCTCTACCCACCCCCGCCCCGCCCCGCCCCACCCCCGCCCCACCCACCACCCCGCCGAGCAGGAGGCGAGTGGTGAGGCCGGCTCTGGCGCCCCGGACACGAAGAAGCAGAGGGTGAAGGTTCGCAACGTCGAGCTGCCGGTGGAGTCCCACCTCGTGTGGGAGCTCACTAGGGAACAGCTCCACTGCTTCGTAGAGAACGAGGTGGGGGCAACGGGGGTGCTGGGGGTGGGGGTGGGGGTGGTGGTGGTGGGGGTGGAGGTGGTGGTGGGGGGGGGGGTGGTGGGGGTGGTGGGGGTGGGGGTGGTGGTGGGGGTGGTGGGGGTGGTGGGGGTGGGGGTGGTGGTGGTGGTGGAGGTGGTGGTGGAGGTGGTGGAGGTGGTGGTGGAGGTGGAGGTGGTGGTGGTGGGGGTGGTGGGGGTGGTGGGGGTGGTGGTGATGGTGGTGGTGGTGGTGGTGGGGGTGGTGGTGCTGGTGGTGGGGGTGGTGGTGGTGGTGGTGGGGGTGGTGGTGGTGGTGGTGGTGCTGGTGGTGGTGCTGGTGCTGGTGGTGGTGCTGGTGGTGGTGGTGGTGCTGGTGGTGGTGGTGCTGCTGGTGGGGAATGGTGGTGAGAGTAGTGAGTGGTGGTAGTGATGGGGAGAGTGATAGTGGTGGTAGTTGGTGCTGATGATGTTGTTAATAATGTTGTTTTGATTGTGACATTGGTGACGGTGATATTGTTTCGATTATGACATTGGTGGTGGCTGTGATGCTTTGATTATGACATCGGTGGTGGTGATGTTGTTTTGATTATGACATCGGTGGTGACGGTGTTATTGTTTTGATTATGACATCGGTGGTGACAGTGATGTTGTTTTGATTATGACATCGGTGGTCGCGGTGGTGGTGATATTGTTTTGATTATGACATCGCTGGTGGCGGTGATATTGTTTTGATTATGACATCGGTGGTGACGGTGTTATTGTTTTGATTATGACATCGGTGGTGGTGATATTGTTTTGATTCTAACATCGGTGGTGACGGTGATATTGTTTTGATTATAACATCCGTGGTGGTGGTGATGTTGTTTTGATTATAACATCCGTGGTGGTGGCGGTGATATTGTTTTGATTATGACATCGGTGGTGACGGTGATATTGTTTTGATTATAACATCCGTGGTGGCGGTGGCGGTGATATTGTTTTGATTATGACATCCGTGGTGGCGGCGGTGATATTGTTTTGATTATAACATCCGTGGTGGTGACGGTGATATTGTTTTGATTATGACATCGGTGGTGACGGTGATATTGTTTTGATTCTGACATCGGTGGTGACGGTGTTATTGTTTTGATTATGACATCGGTGGTCGCGGTGGTGGTGATATTGTTTTGATTATGACATCGGTGGTGGTGACGGTGATATTGTTTTGATTATGACATCGGTGGTGGCGGTGGCGGTGATATTGTTTTGATTATGACATCGGTGGTGGTGGTGATATTGTTTTGATTATAACATCCGTGGTGGTGGTGGCGGTGATATTGTTTTGATTATAACATCCGTGGTGGCGGTGACGGTGATGATATTGTTTTGATGATGACATCGGCGGTGGCGGTGACGTCAATGCCGTTTGTCTGACGGCGTGCACAGGGCAAGATGATCATGCAGGACCGTCTGGAGAAGGAGCGGATCGATGCCAAGAACGCCGTGGAAGAGTTTGTCTACGAATACCGGGAAAAAATCTGCGGAGTCTACGAAAAGTTTGTGGGCGACCAGGTCCGTCCGTCTCCTTCCCCCCCCCCAACCCCAACCCCCGCCCCGTCCACCTTTGTATCTCCTCTGTCCCCGTGTCTGTCTGCGCGATCATCCACGGGGGCGGGGGGAGGGATCGTACCCGCGACTTCCTGTTGTACCGGGCGAGGGAGATAACATTTTCTATTTACTGGTCATCACCATCACTACTGGCTAACCACTACCATCACTACCACCATCACTCACTATCACCATCACTATCACCATCACTACCACCATCGCTCACTGTCACCATCACCATCACTACCACCATCACCATCACTACCACCATCGCTCGCCACCACCATCACTACCACCACCATCGCTCGCCACCACCATCACTACCACCATCGCTCACTATCACCATCACTACCACCACCATCGCTCACCATCACTACCACCACCATCGCTCGCCACCACCATCACTACCACCACCATCGCTCGCCACCACCATCACTACCACCACCATCGCTCACTATCACCATCACTACCACCATCGCTCACTACCACCATCACTACCACCACCATCGCTCACTATCACCATCACTACCACCATCGCTCACTACCACCATCGCTACCACCATCGCTCACTATCACCATCACTACCACCATCGCTCACTATCGCCATCACTACCACCACCATCGCTCACTACCACCATCACTACCACCACCATCGCTCACTATCACCATCACTACCACCACCATCGCTCACTATCACCATCACTACCACCACCATCGCTCACTATCACCATCACTACCACCACCACCGCTCACTACCACCATCACTACCACCATCGCTCACTACCACCACCGCTCACTACCACCACCGCTCACTATCACCATCACCACCAAGTGGCGGTGACGTCACCACGACGCTTGTGCCAGGCCATGTGCACGTTGAGGCCACGTGAAGTGTCGAACGCCCGCTGGCAGGAGGTCACGGGATAGACCCAGGTGGTGCCATGGGTTGACTGCTGCTGTGCCAGGCTAGGTGCATGAGGAGGTCACGGGACAGACCCTGCAGGTGCCATGGGTTGACTGCTGTGCCAGGCTAGGTGCAGCTGTAACCGCCCACTGCCAACTCGCTGTGCTTTATCCGCCCGGCGCTCCGCTCGTTGTTGTGAGCGTCGCTCCACTCTGCCCACCCTCTGTTGTTGCTGGAGGACGACTGCCTCCAGCTGCCCCAGTAGCCTCGAGGTGCACCTAGCCTGGCACCGACCCCCAGTAGCCTCGAGGTGCACCTAGCCTGGCACTTGCCCCAGTAGCCTCAAGGTGCGCCTAGCCTGGCACTTGCCCCAGTAGCCTCGAGGTGCACCTAGCCTGGCACTTGCCCCAGTAGCCTCGAGGTGCACCTAGCCGGGCACAGACCCCCAGTAGCCTCGAGGTGCACCTAGCCTGGCACTTGCCCCAGTAGCCTCGAGGTGCACCTAGCCTGGCACTTGCCCCAGTAGCCTCGAGGTGCACCTAGCCTGGCACTGTCCCCAGTAGCTTCGAGGTGCACCTAGCCGGGCACTGCACAGTAGCGGCATCCTTCCCGAGCCTCCTTCGTAGAGGCCGATCTTGACACCGCTGGTGCCGGCCTTCGGCAAGTCCACTCAGCTCCATTACCTCCCGCTTAGCCCCCTCTGTCTGGCCAAGCCGAAGCTGCTTGGGGCATGCAGTGGATGGGCATGCGGGGCTACGTGGTCGTGGTGATGGTGGGGTGATGATGGTGGAGATGGTGGTGATGGTGTGGTGATGATGGGGTGATGGTGGTGGTGGGGTGATGGTGGGGTTATGGTGGTGATGGTGGTGTGGTGATGGTGGTGTGGTGATGGTGGTGTGGTGATGGTGGTGTGGTGATGGTGGTGTGGTGATGGTGGTGTGGTGATGGTGGTGTGGTGATGGTGGTGTGGTGATGGTGGTGTGGTGATGGTGGTGTGGTGATGGTGGTGTGATGGTGGTGATGGTGATAGTGGGGTGATGGTGGGGTGATGGTGGGGTGATGGTGGGGTGATGGTGGTTGGTTGCTAGGACTGGGCCACGCTGAGCGAGCTGTGTGTTTGACTGACGGTAGTGGTGACGATGGTGGTACTGGTTACGACGATGATGGTGGGTGTTACTGGTGGTGATGGTGGTACGTGTGACGGTGGGTGATGGTACTGACGATGAATGGTTGTGGTACTGACGATGATGATGATGGTGGTGGTGACGGTAGTGGTGGTACTAGTGAAGATGGTGGTGGTGGTGACGATGGTGGTACTGGTGACGATGATTGTGGGTGTTACTGGTGGTGATGGTGGTACGTGTGACGGTGGTGATGGTACTGACGATGAATGGTGGTGGTACTGACGATGATGATGGTGGTGGTGACGGTGACGGTAGTGGTGGTACTAGTGAAAATGGTGGTGGTGCTGACGATGGTGGTACTGGTGACGATGATGGTGGGTGTTACTGGTGGTGACGGTGGTGGTGACGGTGGTGATGGTACTGACGATGAATGGTGGTGGTACTGACGATGACGATGATGGTGGTGGTGGTGACGGTAGTGGTGGTACTAGTGAAGATGGTGGTGGTGGTGACGATGGTGGTACTGGTGGTGATGGTGGTGGTTACTGGTGGTGACGGTGGTGGTGACGTGGGTGATGGTACTGACGATGAATGGTGGTGGTACTGACGATGACGATGATGGTGGTGGTGGTGACGGTAGTGGTGGTACTGGTGATGATGATGATGGTGGTGGTGCTGACGGTGATGACGGTGGTGACGATGGTGGTACTGGTGACGATGATGATGGTGGTGGTGACGGTAGTGGTGGTACTAGTGAAGATGGTGGTGGTGGTGGTGGTGACGATGGTGGTACTGGTGACGATGATGATGATGGTGGTGGTGCTGACGGTGATGACGGTGGTGACGATGGTGGTACTGGTGACGATGATGATGGTGGTGGTGATGACGGTGGTGATTGTTGCTAGGACCGGGCCAAGCTGAGCGAGCTGCTGGAGAGGACTGAGGAGTGGCTCTACGAGGAGGGGGAGGATCAACCCAAGCAGTCGTACCTGGACAAGCTCGCTGAACTCAAGGTGAGGCACCCTGCCCCCCCCTTAGTGGTGGAGTGGTTGAGTGAGTGGTCAAGTTGGTTAGTGAGTGGCTTGGTTAGTGAGTGGTTGAGTGAGTGAGTGGTCAAGTTGGTTAGTGAGTGGTCAAGTTGGTTAGTGAGTGGTTGAGTGAGTGAGTGGTCAAGTTGGTTAGTGAGTGGTTGAGTGAGTGGTCATGTTCGTTAGTGAGTGGTTGATTTGAGTGGTCAAGTTGGTTAGTGAGAGGTTGAGTGAGTGGTTGAGTGAGTGGTCAAGTTGGTTAGTGAGTGAGTGGTCAAGTTGGTTAGTGAGTGGTCAAGTTGGTTAGTGAGTGGTTGAGTGAGTGAGTGGTCAAGTTGGTTAGTGAGTGGTTGAGTGAGTGGTCATGTTCGTTAGTGAGTGGTTGATTTGAGTGGTCAAGTTGGTTAGTGAGTGGTTGATTTGAGTGGTCAAGTTGGTTAGTGAGTGGTTGAGTGAGTGGTTGAGTGAGTGGTCAAGTTGGTTAGTGAGAGGTTGAGTGAGTGGTTGAGTGAGTGGTCAAGTTGGTTAGTGAGTGGTTGAGTGAGTGAGTGGTCAAGTTGGTTAGTGAGTGGTTGAGTGAGTGGTCATGTTCGTTAGTGAGTGGTTGATTTGAGTGGTCAAGTTGGTTAGTGAGAGGTTGAGTGAGTGGTTGAGTGAGTGGTCAAGTTGGTTAGTGAGAGGTTGAGTGAGTGGTTGAGTGAGTGGTCGAGTTGGTTAGTGAGTGGTTGAGTGAGTGAGTGGTCAAGTTGGTTAGTGAGTGAGTGGTCGAGTTGGTTAGTGAGTGGTTGAGTGAGTGGTCAAGTTGGTTAGTGAGTGGTCAAGTTGGTTAGTGAGTGGTTGAGTGAGTGGCCAAGTTGGTTAGTGAGTGGTCAAGTTGGTTAGTGAGTGGTTGAGTGAGTGGCCAAGTTGGTTAGTGAGTGAGTGGTCAAGTTGGTTAGTGAGTGGCCAAGTTGGTTAGTGAGTGAGTGGTCAAGTTGGTTAGTGAGTGGTCAAGTTGGTTAGTGAGTGGTCAAGTTGGTTAGTGAGTGAGTGGTCGAGTTGGTTAGTGAGTGGTTGAGTGAGTGGTCAAGTTGGTTAGTGAGTGGTCAAGTTGGTTAGTGAGTGGTCAAGTTGGTTAGTGAGTGGTCAAGTTGGTTAGTGAGTGAGTGGTCGAGTTGGTTAGTGAGTGGTTGAGTGAGTGGTTGAGTTGGTTAGTGAGTGGTTGAGTGAGTGGTCAAGTTGGTTAGTGAGTGGTCAAGTTGGTTAGTGAGTGGTCAAGTTGGTTAGTGAGTGGTCAAGTTGGTTAGTGAGTGGTCAAGTTGGTTAGTGAGTGGTCAAGTTGGTTAGTGAGTGGTTGAGTGAGTGGCCAAGTTGGTTAGTGAGTGAGTGGTCAAGTTGGTGAGTGGTTGAGTGAGTGGTCAAGTTGGTTAGTGAGTGGTTGAGTGAGTGGCCAAGTTGGTTAGTGAGTGGTTGAGTGAGTGGCCAAGTTGGTTAGTGAGTGAGTGGTCAAGTTGGTGAGTGGTTGAGTGAGTGGTCAAGTTGGTTAGTGAGTGGTCGAGTTAGTGGCCAAGTTGGTGAGTGAGTGGTTGACTGAGCGAGTGGTCAAGTTGGTTAGTGAGTGGTAGTTGGCTGAGTGGCCGAGTTGGTTAGTGAGTGGCTAGTGAGTGGTTGAGTGAGCGGGTTATGGAGCTGGTGGACTGTGCCCACCCACCACCACCACCACCTCCCCACCACCACCTCCCCACCACCACCTCCCCACCACCACCACCACCTCCCCCACCACCGCAGAAACTCGGCGCCCCCATCCAGGACCGCTTCCGCGAGAACGAGGATCGCCCACGGGCCTTTGACGAGCTCGGTCGCCTCGTGCAGCAATACAGCAAGGTGGTGGAGGCCTTCAAGAGCGGGGTGAGTCGTGCGTGTGTGTGTGTGCGTGTGTGCGTGTGTGTGTACGTGTGTGTGTGTACGTGTGTGCGTGTGTGTACGTGTGTGTGTGTGTACGTGTGTGTGTGTGTGTGTACGTGTGTGTGTGTGTATGTACGTGTGTGTGTGTACGTGTGTGTGTGTACGTGTGTGTGTGTGTACGTGTACGTGTGTGTGTACGTGTGTGTGTGTGTGTGTACGTGTGTGTGTGTGTGTATGTACGTGTGTGTACGTGTGTGTACGTGTGTGTGTGTGTGTGTACGTGTGTGTGTGTGTGTACGTGTGTGTGTGTGTGTGTACGTGTGTGTGTGTGTGTACGTGTGTGTGTGTGTGTACGTGTGTGTGTGTGTGTACGTGTGTGTGTGTGTGTGTACGTGTGTGTGTGTGTGCGTACGTGTGTGTGTGTGTATGTACGTGTGTGTGTGTGTGTACGTGTGTGTGTGTGTGTGTGTACGTGTGTGTGTGTGTGTGTACGTGTGTGTGTGTGTGTACGTGTGTGTGTGTACGTGTGTGTGTGTGTACGTGTGTGTGTGTGTACGTGTGTGTGTGTACGTGTGTGTGTGTACGTGTGTATGTGTGTGTGTGTATGTGTGTGTGTGTACGTGTGTATGTGTGTGTGTGTACGTGTGTATGTGTGTGTGTGTACGTGTGTATGTGTGTGTGTGTACGTGTGTGTGTGTGTGTACGTGTGTATGTGTGTGTGTGTACGTGTGTGTGTGTGTGTACGTGTGTGTGTGTGTGTGTACGTGTGTGTGTGTGTACGTGTGTGTGTGTGTGTGTGTACGTGTGTGTGTGTACGTGTGTGTGTGTGTGTGTACGTGCGTGTGTGTACGTGTGTGTGTGTACGTGTGTGTGTGTGTGTACGTGTGTGTGTGTGTATGTACGTGTGTGTGTGTGTGTGTACGTGTGTGTGTACGTGTGTGTGTGTGTGTTCGGACGGGTATGTCAGCTCTTCTTGGCGCGTGGAGACGCTGCGTCTGTGACTGACACCGCCACGGTAGGGGGGGTGAGGGACGATGACTTCTGGGGGCAAATGCGTCCATTGTGACAACCCTGCTCTTAACAAGCGACTCGCGAATACACGAACGGGGGGTGGGTGGGTGGGGGGGGGGGTGGTTTCCGCGACATCTTCAACCCGGCGGACCAAGGGGTTGGATGGATGGAGGAGGAGGTGGTACAGCCCTCCAGGCCGAGGTCCAGGCTTGAGGCGACCCGGCCCGGGGGTAAAGGCGGGGGTCCCCAACGCCGGCCACCTCTACGGGCCCGGCTCTGACAAGAGGTCTCGCCTGAGGGTCCCCCTCTCTCTCTCCCTCTCCCCCCAGGGTGTTGCCCCAGCGTTCGGGTCTTCGGGGGTGTCTCCGGGTTGACGGAACACTGCCTCGGGCCCGTTCAGAAGGTCTCGGAGGCTCGTAATTCTTAGCGGGGGGGTGGGGGGGGGGCCTTAGGAAGTTGTGGTGTGTACGTCCCCTTCCCCAGCCCCGCTGAGGGGTTCTGGGGTGGTCGACCTCCGGTCGTGTAGGGGTGGGGTGCTGGGGTTTGACCTTGGGTCAAGCCCCAGCAGCAGCAGGCATTGTCAGGGTTGGGATTGAACCCACGACCTCCTGTGTAGGCCGGGCGAGGTAGTCAACATCTCATAGCCACCGTGATGATGATGATGATGAGAGAGAGACACAAATACACAACACACGACCTCCTGTAGACCAGGCGAGGTAGTCAACATCTCATAGCCACCGTGATGATGATGATGATGAGAGAGAGACACAAATACACAACTCACGACCTCCTGTAGACCGGGCGAGGTAGTCAACATCTCATAGCCACCGTGATGATGATGATGAGAGATGCAGACTCCAAATCTACAGCAGCAGGGTCGGGATTGAACCCACGACTTCCTGACGCAGGCTTTAACAAACGCCAAGGCATGTGGGTGGGTGGGTGGGTGTGGGTGGATGTGTGTGTGGGTGGGTGTGTGTGGATGTGTGTGTGGGTGGTGTGTGGGTGGGTGTGTGGGTGGGTGTGTGTGGATGTGTGTGTGGGTCGGTGTGTGTGGGTGGGTGGGTGTGGGTGTGTGTGTGGGTGTGGGTGTGTGGGGATGTGTGTGTGTGGGTGTGTGGGTGGGTGTGTGGGGATTGTGTGTGTGTGGGGATATGTGTGTGTGGGGGTGTGTGGGGATGTGTGTGTGTGGGGGTGTGTGGGGATGTGTGTGTGGGTGTTGGTGTGTGTGGGTGTGTGTGGTCTAGAAGTATCCAGCAGTAGTCCAATGCCTCCTTGTGCAATGATGATGGTTTTGTTGATGATGACATTGACGACGATCACGATGATGATGACATTGACGACGATGATTGACGACGATGATGATGACATTGACGACGATGATGACGACGATGATGACATTGATGACGACGACGATGATGATGACATTGACGATGACGATAACGATGACGACGATGACATTGATGTTGACGATGACGACGATGATGATGACATTGACGATGACGATGATGATGACGACGGCATTTCCCCCCATCGCCCGCGGTCAGGACGAGAAATACGAGCACCTGGCGAGGGAGGAGGTGGCGAGGGTGGAGGGGGCCCTGGCGGAGGCCCAGGCCTGGCTTAACGACGCCATGAACCAGCAGGCCAAGCGCAGCCTGCACCAGCAGCCCGCAGTCACCGTCGCCGAGATCCACAGCAAGCGCAAGGTGGGGAGGTGCAGCCAAAGCTGGTCGCCGTCTCACTCACACTCACTCACACTCTCACACTCACTCACTCATCTCTCACTCACACACTCACTCACACTCACTCACTCTCTCACACTCTCTCACACTCACTCACACTCACTCACACACTCACCCCTCTCACTCACTCACTCACACTCACTCACTCATCTCTCACTCACTCACACTCACTCACACACTCACTCACTCACTCTCACTCACTCACACTCATACTCTCACACACTCACTCACCCTCTCACTCACTCACACACTCACTCACACACTCACTCACACTCTCACTCACTCTCACACTCACCCTCTCACTCACTCACTCACACTCACCCTCTCACTCACTCACACTCACCCTCTCACTCACACTCACCCTCTCACTCACTCACTCTCACTCCACTTACTCCACTCACTCACTCACACTCACCCACTCACTCCACTCACTCACTCACCCCTCTCACTCACTCACTCACCCCTCTCACTCACACTCACTCACACTCGCCCTACTCACTCACACTCTCACTCACACTCATTCACACTCACTCACTCACACTCACCCTCTCACTCACACTCACTCACACTCCTCTCACTCACCCTCTCACTCACACTCACTCACACTCAATCACTCACTCATCTCTCACTCACTCACACTCACTCACACTCACACACCTCTCTCACTCACACTCAATCACACTCACTCACCCTCTCACTCACTCCACTCACTCACTCCACTCACTCACTTACACTCACCCACTCACTCTCACTCACTCACCTCTCTCACTCACTCCACTCACTCACACTCACCCACTCACTCACTCACTCTCCCTCTCACTCACTCACTCACCCCTCTCACTCACTCACTCACCCTCTCACTCACTCACCCTCTCACTCACTCTCACTCACCCTCTCACTCACTCACACTCACTCACCCTCTCACTCATCTCTCACTCACTCACACACCCCTCTCACTCACCCCTCTCACTCACTCACCCCTCTCACTCACCCTCTCACTCATCTCTCACTCACTCACACACCCCTCTCACTCACCCCTCTCACTCACTCACCCCTCTCACTCACCCTCTCACTCACCCTCTCACTCACACTCACTCACTCTCACTCACACCACTCTCTCACTCACTCACCCCTCTCACTCACCCCTCTCACTCACTCACTCACACTCTCACTCACTCACACTCTCACTCACTCACACTCTCACTCACTCACCCTCTCACTCACTCACCCTATCACTCACACTCTCACTCTCTCACCGCTCTCACTCACCCCTCTCACTCACTCACACTCACTCACACTCACTCACACACTCACATCCACTCACTCACCCTCTCACTCACTCACGTCGCTCACTCACACTCACCCTCTCACTCACTCACCCCTCTCACTCACTCACACTCACTCTCTCACCCTCTCACTCACTCACTCACCCACTCACTCACTCACCCCTCTCACTCACTCACACTCACTCTCTCACCCTCTCACTCACTCACTCACCCACTCACTCACTCACCCTCTCACTCACTCACTCACCCTCTCACTCACTCACTCACCCTCTCACTCACTCACTCACCCACACACTCACTCACCCCTCTCACTCACTCACACTCACTCTCTCACCCTCTCACTCACTCACTCACCCACTCACTCACTCACCCTCTCACTCACTCACTCACCCTCTCACTCACTCACTCACCCTCTCACTCACTCACTCACCCACTCACTCACTCACCCTCTCACTCACTCACTCACCCTCTCACTCACTCACTCACCCACTCACTCACTCACCCCTCTCACTCACTCACACTCACTCTCTCACCCTCTCACTCACTCACTCACCCACTCACTCACTCACCCTCTCACTCACTCACTCACCCACTCACTCACTCACTCACCCACTCACTCACTCACTCACCCACTCACATCACTCACCCCTCTCACTCACTCACACTCACTCTCTCACCCTCTCACTCACTCACTCACCCACTCACTCACTCACCCTCTCACTCACTCACTCACCCTCTCACTCACTCACTCACCCTCTCACTCACTCACTCACCCACTCACTCACTCACCCCTCTCACTCACTCACACTCACTCTCTCACCCTCTCACTCACTCACTCACCCACTCACTCACTCAACCCACTCACTCACTCACACTCACTCTCTCACCCTCTCACTCACTCACTCACCCACTCACTCACTCACCCTCTCACTCACTCACTCACCCTCTCACTCACTCACTCACCCTCTCACTCACTCACTCACCCACTCACTCACTCACCCCTCTCACTCACTCACACTCACTCTCTCACCCTCTCACTCACTCACTCACCCACTCACTCACTCACCCCTCTCACTCACTCACACTCACTCTCTCACCCTCTCACTCACTCACTCACCCACTCACTCACTCACCCTCTCACTCACTCACTCACCCTCTCACTCACTCACCCTCTCACTCACTCACTCACCCACTCACTCACTCACCCCTCTCACTCACTCACACTCACTCTCTCACCCTCTCACTCACTCACTCACCCACTCACTCACTCACCCCTCTCACTCACTCACACTCACTCTCTCACCCTCTCACTCACTTCACTCACCCACTCACTCACTCACCCTCTCACTCACTCTCACTCACCCTCTCACTCACTCACACTCACTCACCCTCTCACTCATCTCTCACTCACTCACACACCCCTCTCACTCACCCCTCTCACTCACTCACCCCTCTCACTCACCCTCTCACTCACCCTCTCACTCACACTCACTCACTCTCACTCACACCACTCTCTCACTCACTCACCCCTCTCACTCACCCCTCTCACTCACTCACTCACACTCTCACTCACTCACACTCTCACTCACTCACACTCTCACTCACTCACCCTCTCACTCACTCACCCTCTCACTCACACTCTCACACTCTCACCCCTCTCACTCACCCCTCTCACTCACTCACACTCACTCACACTCACTCACACACTCACTCCACTCACTCACCCTCTCACTCACTCACTCGCTCACTCACACTCACCCTCTCACTCACTCACCCCTCTCACTCACTCACACTCACTCTCTCACCCTCTCACTCACTCACTCACCCACTCACTCACTCACCCCTCTCACTCACTCACACTCACTCTCTCACCCTCTCACTCACATCACTCACCCACTCACTCACTCACCCTCTCACTCACTCACTCACCCTCTCACTCACTCACTCACCCTCTCACTCACTCACTCACCCACTCACTCACTCACCCCTCTCACTCACTCACACTCACTCTCTCACCCTCTCACTCACTCACTCACCCTCTCACTCACTCACTCACCCTCTCACTCACTCACTCACCCTCTCACTCACTCACTCACCCACTCACTCACCTCACCCCTCTCACTCACTCACACTCACTCTCTCACCCTCTCACTCACTCACACTCACTCTCTCACCCTCTCACTCACTCACTCACCCACTCACTCACTCACCCTCTCACTCACTCACTCACCCACTCACTCACTCACTCACCCTCTCACTCACTCACTCACCCACTCACTCACTCACCCCTCTCACTCACTCACACTCACTCTCTCACCCTCTCACTCACTCACTCACCCACTCACTCACTCACCCTCTCACTCACTCACTCACCCTCTCACTCACTCACTCACCCTCTCACTCACTCACTCACCCACTCACTCACTCACCCCTCTCACTCACTCACACTCACTCTCTCACCCTCTCACTCACTCACTCACCCACTCACTCACTCACCCCTCTCACTCACTCACACTCACTCTCTCACCCTCTCACTCACTCACTCACCCACTCACTCACTCACCCTCTCACTCACTCACTCACCCTCTCACTCACTCACTCACCCTCTCACTCACTCACTCACCCACTCACTCACTCACCCCTCTCACTCACTCACACTCACTCTCTCACCCTCTCACTCACTCACCCACTCACTCACTCACCCCTCTCACTCACTCACACTCACTCTCTCACCCTCTCACTCACTCACTCACCCACTCACTCACTCACCCTCTCACTCACTCACTCACCCTCTCACTCACTCACTCACACTCTCACTCACTCACTCACCCACTCACTCACTCACCCCTCTCACTCACTCACACTCACTCTCTCACCCTCTCACTCACTCACTCACCCACTCACTCACTCACCCCTCTCACTCACTCACACTCACCCTCTCACCCTCTCACTCACTCACTCACCCACTCACTCACCCACTCACTCACTCACCCTCTCACTCACTCACTCACCCTCTCACTCACTCACTCACCCTCTCACTCACTCACTCACCCACTCACTCACTCACCCCTCTCACTCACTCACACTCACTCTCTCACCCTCTCACTCACTCACTCACCCACTCACTCACTCACCCTCTCACTCACTCACTCACCCTCTCACTCACTCACTCACCCTCTCACTCACTCACTCACCCACTCACTCACTCACCCCTCTCACTCACTCACTCCACTCACTCACATTCACTCACACACCTCACTCACTCACCCCTCTCACTCACTCTCACTCACCCTCTCACTCACTCACTCCTCTCACTCACTCACCCCTCTCACTCACACTCATCTCTCACTCACTCACACTCTCACTCACCTCTCACTCACTCACTCACCCTCTCACTCACTCCTCTCACTCTCACTCACTCACCCTCTCACTCACTCCTCTCACTCTCACTCACTCTCACTCACCCTCACTCACCCTCTCACTCACTCACCCCTCTCACTCACTCACACCCCTCTCACTCACTCACTCACCCTCTCACTCACTCACCCTCTCGCTCACTCCTCTCACTCTCACTCACTCACCCTCTCACTCACTCCTCTCACTCTCACTCACTCTCACTCACCCTCACTCACCCTCTCACTCACTCACCCCTCTCACTCACTCACACCCCTCTCACTCACTCACTCACCCTCTCACTCACTCACCCTCTCGCTCACTCCTCTCACTCCACTCACTCACTCACCCCTCTCACTCACTCACCCTCTCGCTCACTCACTCTACTCACTCACTCACACTCCTCTCACCCCTCACTCACTCACCCCTCTCAGCCCTCTCACTCACTCACCCCTCTCACTCACCCCTCTCACTCACCCCTCTCACTCACTCACCCCTCTCACTCACCCCTCTCACTCACTCACCCCTCTCACTCACTCTCACCCCTCTCACTCACCCCTCTCACTCACCCCTCTCACTCACTCACCCCTCTCACTCACCCCTCTCACTCACTCACCCCTCTCACTCACTCTCACCCCTCTCACTCACCCCTCTCACTCACCCCTCTCACTCACTCACCCCTCTCACTCACCCCTCTCACTCACTCACCCCTCTCACTCACTCTCACCCCTCTCACTCACCCCTCTCACTCACCCCTCTCACTCACTCACCCCTCTCACTCCACTCACTCACTCCTCCTCTCACTCACTCACCCCTCTCACTCACTCACCCCTCTCACTCACTCACCCCTCTCACTCACCCTCTCACTCACTCCACTCACCCCTCTCACTCACCCCCCCTTCTGCCCCCCCCCCCCTGTTAAGTCACCCCCTCTACCACTCACCACCCCCCCCTCTCACCCCCCCCCCCACTCACTCACTCCACCTCTCACTCAATCACCCCCCCCTCTCACCCCCCCCTCTCACTCACTCCACCTCTCACCCCCCCCCCCTCTCACTCACCCCCTCTCACTCACCCCCCTCTCGCTCACCCCTCTCACTCATTCACTCACCCCTCTCACTCACCCCCCTCTCACTCCTCTCACTCACCCCTCTCACTCACCCCTCTCACTCCACTCACCCCTCTCACTCCACTCACCCCTCTCACTCCACTCACCCCTCTCACTCCACTCACCCCTCTCACTCCACTCACCCCTCTCATTCACTCACCCCTCTCACTCACCCCTCTCACTCACCACCCCCCCTCTCACTCACCACCCCCCCTCTCACTCACCCCTCTCACCCCTCTCACTCACTCACCCCCCTCTTGCTCACTCACCCCTCTCACTCATTCACTCACCCCTCTCACTCATTCACTCACCCCTCTCACTCAATCACCCCTCTCACTTCTCACTCACCCCTCACTCACCCCTCTCACTTCTCACTCACCCCTCACTCACCCCTCTCACTTCTCACTCACCCCTCACTCACCCCTCTCACTCAATCACCCCTCTCACTCACCCCTCTCACTCACTCACCCCTCTTACTTCTCACTCACCCCTCACTCACCCCTCTCACTCAATCACCCCTCTCACTCACCCCTCTCACTTCTCACTCACCCCTCACTCACCCCTCTCACTCACCCCTCACTCACCCCTCTCACTCAATCACCCCTCTCACTCCCCCTCTCACTTCTCACTCACCCCTCACTCACCCCTCTCACTCACCCCTCACTCACCCCTCTCACTCAATCACCCCTCTCACTCCCCCTCTCACTTCTCACTCACCCCTCACTCACCCCTCTCACTCACTCACCCCTCTCACCCCTCTCACTCACTCCTCTCACTCAATCACCCCCCCCTCTCACTCACCCCTCTCACTCACCACCCCTCTCACCCCCCCTCTCACCCCCCCCTCTCACCACCTCTCCACCCCCCCCCCCCCCCCCCCCCCCCCCAGGAGCTGGAGTCTGCCTGCAAGCCGGTGGTCACAAAGCCCAAGCCCAAACCCGAGCCCGAGGCGCCCCCCAAGGCCGAGACATCGACGCCGCCTCCTCAGGCTCAGCCTCAGCCTCAGGCTCAGCCTCAGGCTCAGCCTCAGGCGTCGAACCCCGAGCAGAACGGCCCGGCCAACGGCCACGAGGCCAGTGGGGGGCAGCAGCAGCAGCAGCAGGGAGGGGGGGGGGCCAAGGGCAAGGCACCGCCCGGGCAGGCGGGCGCTGAGGGCAGCTCCCCGGGCCAGCCACACAACGGGGAGACTCGGGGCCCGGCCACACGCATGGATCTTGACTGATTTGTGATAAAGCCGGGTTGTGGGGGGGGGGGGCAAGGGGGGGCAGGGGGGGGGGTCGCCTTCACCTCCTCCCACCCACCACCTCCCCACCACCCCACCAGCCCCCCCACCATCCTCACACCTCTCTCGCCCATCCCCTCCCCTCATCGCCCACCGTTTGTTGGCCGCTCGCCCACCCGCTCACCCACCCACCCGCTCACCCACCCACTCACCCACCCGTTCGCCCATCCGCCCACTTGCCCACTCACCCACTCACCCACCCACTCACCCACCTACCCACCCACTCGCCCACTCACCCGCTCACCCACCCGCCCACTCGCCCACCCACCCACTCACCCACCCACCCGCTCGCCCACTCACCCGCTCACCCACCCACTCACCCACCCACTCGCCCGCCCACCCACTCACCCACCCGCTCGCCCATCCGCCCACTTGCCCACCCACCCACTCACTCACTCGCCCACCCACCCACCAGCTCACCCACCCACTCACCCACCCGCTCGCTCATCCGCCCACTTGCCCACCCACCCGCTCACTCACTCGCCCACTTGCCCACCCACCCGCTCACTCACTCGCCCACCCACTCGCTGACCCACCCACGCACCCACCCACCCACCCGCCCGCCCGCCCACGCACGAGTGAGATTCCCGCTCGCCTGCCACCAGACACCGCTGACGGTGACCCAAGCCGGTCCTGGGGCCCTCCCCCTTCGGTCTCCTCCGGCACAGCGGCCGGCCACCTGCAGCTGGAACATCCCCGGCACTGAGGGAGACAAAGACGGCCGGGCGGGGGTGGACGGTAGTTGCCGTAGTGGTCGTCCGCGGGGCTTGGGGAGTGTTGAGGTGGGAGGCCTCGTGGGAGTTGACCAGGCCCGAGGTTTGGCTGGGTGGGTGGTGGTGGTGGTGGTGAGGGAGGCGTGGGTGGTAGTGGTGGGTGGTAGTGGTGGGTGGTAGTGGTGGGTGGTAGTGGTGGTGGTGGTGAGGGAGGCGTGGGTGGTAGTGGTGGGTGGTAGTGGTGGTGGTGGTGAGGGAGGCGTGGGTGGTAGTGGTGGGGGTGGTAGTGGTGGCTGGGTGGGTGGTTGGGGAGTGGTGGGTGGTGGTGGTGGTGGGGGAGACGTGGGTGGTAGTGGTGGGTGGTGAGGGAGGCGTGGGTGGTAGTGGTGGCTGGTAGTGGTGGCTGGTAGTGGTGGGTGGTAGTGGTGGGTGGTAGTGGTGGGTGGTAGTGGTGGGCGGTAGTGGTGGGTGGTGGTGGTGGCTGGTGGTGGTGGCTGGTAGTAGTGGGTGGTGGTGGTGGCTGGGTGGTAGTGGTGGGCGGTAGTGGTGGGCGGTAGTGGTGGGCGGTAGTGGTGGGCGGTAGTGGTGGTGGTGTGGAGACGTGTGGCGTCGCGTTCACGCAGCGGCTGATTTTGAGAACCGAATAGAAAAAATCGTCCCCAATATTTCCACCCCCATTCCGACGTTCCCCTCCCGTGTGACTTCACCGGCCACCGGTGTTCGTGCCCCCCACCCCCCCCACCAACCCCCCCCGGCCCCCTGCTCTTTGTGCCCCGAACTAAATAGAAAAACGAGAGAGCGAAAGAAAACCTTAAAAAAAATGATGATGATTATTAATTGCTACGGACAGAAATGTTGTTGTTGTGTAAAGCGACGTGAACGTCTCTCCTCTCTCCTCTCTCTCGTCTCCTCTCTCTGTCTCCTCTCTCTGTCTCCCCTCTCTCCTCTCGTCTCCTCTCTCTATCTCTGTTCTCGTCTCCTCTCTCTATCTCTGTTCTCTCTCTCCTCTCTCTCTGTTCTCTCTCCTCTCTCCTCTCTCTATCTCTGTTCTCTCCTCTCTCTCCTCTCTGTTCCCTCTCTCGTCTCTCTCCTCTCTCTCCTCCTCTCCTCTCTCTCTGTTCCCTCTCTCTCCTCTCTCTCCCCTCTCTCTCTCCTCTCCCCTCTCTCTCTGTTCCCTCTCTCTCTCCTCTCTCTCCCCTCTCTCTCTGTTCCCTCTCTCTCCTCTCTCTCCCCTCTCTCTGTTATCTCTCTCTCTCGTCCCTCTCCTCTCTCGTCCCTCTCCTCTCTCAACCTTCCTACCTGAGGGTTGTTTTCTATTGTTTTGAAACTCTCCATTGGCGTCTCGCTCGGCTCCTCGCCCACTCGCGGGTTGAGTGCGGTCACGTTACAACATCTTGGGACTCGCTCGCTCACACTATCACACTCACACTCACTATCACACTCACTCTCACACTCACTCTCACACTCACTATCACACTCACTATCACACTCACTATCACTATCACACTCACTCTCACTATCACACTCACTCTCACTATCACACTCACTATCACACTCACTATCACGCTCACTATCACACTCACTATCACTATCACACTCACTCTCACTATCACACTCACTTTCACTATCACACTCACTCACTTTCAATATCACACTCACTCTCACTATCACACTCACTATCACTCTCACTATCACACTCACTATCACTCTCACACTCACTATCACACTCTCACACTTTCAATATCACACTCACTCTCACTATCACACTCACTCTCACTATCACACTCACTATCACACTCACACTCACTATCACACTCACTCACTATCACACTCACTATCACACTCTCACTATCACACTCACTCTCACTATCACACTCACTATCACACTCTCACTATCACACTCACTCTCACTATCACACTCACTCACTCACACTCACTATCACACTCACTATCACACTCACTATCACACTCACTCTCACTATCACACTCGCACACTTTCAATATCACACTCACTCTCACTATCACACTCACTATCACACTCACTCTCACTATCACACTCACTTTCACTATCACACTCACTCACTTTCAATATCACACTCGCTCACACTCGCTCACACTCACACACTTTCAATATCACACTCACTCTCACTATCACACTGACTATCACACTCACTCTCACACTCACTCACACTCACTATCACTATCACACTCATCACACTCGATCTCTATCACACTCACTATCACACTCACTATCACACACTCGCTCGCTCACACTATCACACTCACACACTTTCAATATCACACTCACTCTCACTATCACACTCACTATCACACTCACTCTCACTATCACACTCACTTTCACTATCACACTCACTCACTTTCAATATCACACTCGCTCACACTCGCTCACACTCACTATCACACTCACTATCACACTCACTATCACACTCACACTCGCTCACACTCGCTATCACTATCACACTCACTATCACACTCACTATCACACTCAGTATCACACACTCGCTCGCTCACACTCACTATCACACTCACTATCACACTCACTCTCACTCGCTCACACTCACTATCACGCTCGCTCACACTCACTATCACACTCGCTCACTCTCAATATCACACTCGCTATCACTATCACACTCGCTCGCACTCACTATCACACTCGCTCACTTTCAATATCACACTCGCTATCACTCGCTATCACACTCGCGCTCGCTCGCACTCACTATCACACTCGCTCTCTATCACACTCGCTATCACACGCTCACACTATCACACTCACTCTCTATCACACTCACTATCACACTCGCTCTCTATCACACTCGCTATCACACGCTCACACTATCACACTCACTCTCTATCACACTCACTATCTATCACACTCACTATCACACTCGCTCTCTATCACACTCACTATCACACTCACACTATCACACTCACTCTCTATCACACTCGCTCAGTCTCAATATTACACTCTCTCTCGCTCACACTCACTATCACACTCTCTCTCGCTCACACTCACTATCACACTCACTCTCGCTCACACTCGCTATCACTCGCTCACTCTCTCTCGCTCACACTCGCTATCACTCTCACTCGCTCACACTCGCTCACTCGCTCTCTCCCTCGCTCACACTCTCGCTCACACTATTACTCGCTCACTCATTCGCTCACACTCTCACTCTCTCTCACACTCGCTCACTCGCTCACACTCTCGCTCACTCGCTCACACTCTCGCTCACTCGCTCACACTCTCGCTCACACTCACTATCACTCGCTCACACTCTCGTTCACACTATTACTCGCTCACTCATTCGCTCACTCACTCACTCTCGCTCACACTCACTATCACTCGCTCGCGCTCTCACTTGCTCGCTCACACTCACTATCGCTCACTCGCTCACTCACTCGGTCACGCTTGCTATCACTCTCTCGCTCACACTTACTATCACTCGCTCGCTCACACTTACTATCACTCGCTCGCTCACTCACTCGGTCACACTTACTATCACTCTCTCGCTCACACTTACTATCACTCTCTCGCTCACTCACTCGGTCACACTTACTATCACTCTCTCGCTCACACTTACTATCACTCTCTCGCTCACACTTACTATCACTCTCTCGCTCACACTTACTATCGCTCGCTCACACTTACTATCGCTCGCTCACTCTCTCTCGCTCGCACTCACTATCGCTCTCCCAAACGATCCCCTCTCCTCATCCACCTCCTAGCGCTCTCATCTCTCATCTTCTCCCTCCTCCGTTATCTCCCTCCCCCCTCCCTGCATTCACCACTAAATACACAACAACAACAGCCACAACAACCACAACAAACAACAACAACATTGAGTGTCCTGGAAATGAGATCGACAACAAAGCAACTTGGCAAAAACCTTCAAACGACAACCTTCCAACAATTTCAACAACAACAACAATAGCCATCACGCGCGCGTACACATACGCGCACACGCGCTTACACACACACACGCACGCACTTAGACATGCTCTTACACACGTACGCACACACTCGCGCGTACACCTACACACGCGCTTACGTACACACGCACGCGCTTACGTACACACGCGTGCACGCGCTTACGTACACACGCTTAGACACAGGCGTGCAGCAGCAGCAGAGTTTGTGTTTCCGTTGAGTTCACTGTTTGACCGCGGAGTATGAAAATAAAGCTGAAGACTTAAAGCGGCGGTGAAGGCTGGTGAGCTGCTTCGGGTTGTTGCCGGCTCGC